CTTCCCAGACCTTCCTTTGAAATCTTGGTGGAAACCTCCATGACTCTTAACTCCAGCCTTCTGTGTCCCTGCAGAATCAGAACCACATGGTTGATACCAAGATCTGCTGCTATCTAGAGCAGTAGCCAAGACTCCTGGGACCAAGGTTACAGCTACCTCTGAGTACCTGGGCAGTTGAATATAGTGAGACAATTTCCTAGGCCCCGCTGTTCAAGAAGTGTGCCCCAATAGTTTGTTCTCAAAGGAAGTTTTACTTTTATATCCTTGAGACCGAGATGCTTCTCTCAAGCCATCTTTCTTGTTGTCTTCTCTGGTAAAGTATTCAGCATCTTTTTAGTGGCGGTAATGTCTTTAGCAACTACACCTTGCTTTGTCCCAGTTTTACTCCCATTTTTCTGGTCAAATTGCAACATTCTCAAATCTTTCCGCCCTGCTTTCTGCTCCTGATTATCCTAATAAACTTGTCTGAAAGTTGCCATTGATATTCATGTCACCACCTGAATGCTGTGTTGTTTTGACATTTCTTCTGCTGGATTAATTAGTCTATCACCTTTAAATTGAGCTCCACTGAAAGTCTCAGGACAAGAGAAAAATGTAGACAACTCATTTGCCAGAATGTAATATGAGTGACATCTAGTCAAATTTCCAATGGAGTCCTCTTCATCCTCTGAGACCGCATGGGCCCAGTCTTCACTGTCTACAGTCTATTGGCATTCCCGTCTTCTGAGCTCCCATCAGAATTTCTCATTAAGCTCCACTTACAACATTTCAAAGCTTTTCCAGATGGCATCTCTAACCTTTTAAGAAGTCTTTTTCCCTATAAACAAGTTCCAAAGGCTTTTGAAAGGCATTAAGTTAAATCACAGCAACAAACCCATTTCGTAGTAACAATTTCTGTTTTAGCCAGCCTTTTCCCCATTGTGAGGAAAAGTTTATTTGGCACTCACAGTTTCAGTGATCTTAGTCCACAAATGGCTAACTCCATTGCTTTGGGCCAGAATAACATGGCAGAGGATTAACCTCCCAGTTAATACATATCAGGGGATTAGTATAGTTAATACATTAAGGTTCTCATAACCCAATGATTTCACCTCTAAACTTTCTTGCATTACCTTACACATGTGCCTTTGGGTGACACCTCATATCTAAACCATAACAGATGGCACAAAGAGGACGGGTGTCTTTGCAGGTGTTAAGGAGCTTGAGATGAAGAGGTTATCCTGGATTTCCTAGGTGAGCAACAAATGAAGAACAGCGGGAGATTTTACCACACCTGCATGTTCCTGTACACACACACACACACACACACACACACACACACACATATGAGGTGATATGAAGGTTTATATAGCAGAGAGAGGTTTGAAGATATTAGCCTTAAAGTTTGGAGATGAAAGAAACAAGGAACACATTTTCCCCTACTACTTCCAAGGGTAGTGCATTGAGTTGACATGTTTATTTCAGCTAATTTTAGACATCTGGCTTTAGAACTGTAAGAAAACAAAATTTCTATTTGTTTAGGCCATAAAATTGGTGTTTATTTGTTTGGGCAGGTACAAGAAGCTGAAACAACTAACAGTAAATAATTAGAAAATGAAATAATAATGCAAGGTCAATTAAACCTCAACAGACAGTTGTTTTTTGTTCTTTTGGTTTACTTGTTTTTAATTGATAAACTAGATTCTGTGTCATGAAGAAAAAAATCCAGAAGAGCCAAGATAATCTTAAAGAACAATAATAAAATTCCCTCGTTTAAACCACTAGGTTATAATACTTAGTTTAGAACTACATGAACTAGAAAAGTTTGTTATTAGTACAGACATTGATCCAAAAATAAGTAATTAAAGATAGATGATAAGTACATAGAAAACAGAATATTTTATAGCCTGACACCAAGTTTTATTTAAAATTATTCTAGAAAAATCGTTATCAAAAAATTGACAAATGGAATATCACTAAAATTAATAAATTTCATAACAAAAAATGATGGCAAAAATGTAAAGTCATGCCACAGACTTGGAGAAGATATTTATAACACATATATCTAAGGGAGTACATGAAAATACATGAAGATTTCCTCCCAATCCATAAGAAAAATATATAGGGAAAAATGTGACATAAGTTTTTATGATCTGTCATGCAAGAGGACATCAAAATAGCCAATAAATAATATAAAGGAGTTTGGTATCATTATCTTTCTGGTAAATTCAAATTAAAATAGTAAGAAGAAACCACTGCGTAGGAGACTAACAATATAAAGTGCTGATGAGGTTATGGAGGAGGCAGAAATGTTGTATGATGCTGGTAGAACTGTAATGGGGTACAACTACTTTGGAAAGCAATTTAGCAGTTACCTCCTAAGTTGGAACATACGCTTATAGTAAGAACATAACATAACCCAGTGTCTGGTAAACACCCAGGAGAAATCAGCACTTGTATCCAAGGGAACAAAGGTTCAAGAATATTCATGGCATTTTTATCCATGAAATTCTGAAAGAGGAAATAATCCAAAAGTCCACAAATAGGAAAATGAATTAAAAATTACATTATTTTTACACTTTTAGACTATCTCACTATAATAACAAAAAAACAATTTGTTGACCCACAAGGACATGAATAAATATAATAGTATATTGAGTGGAAAGAGGACAGACACCAAAGTATACATGCTGCATGTTCAAATGGAATCTAAGAACAAGCAAAATTAACTCAAGGCAATAGAAATCAGAATTATTATATATCTTTTTGGGTGGGGTAGAAGATAGTATAGAGAAGGAAGGAAAAGTAAGAAAAACTTCCAAGCATAGAGAAGGAAAGTTTTGTTTATATCTTAATCTGGTTAATGTTTATATTAGTACACACATACTTAAAAATTCCTTATTCTGTGCACTTGATATTAATGCTCATAATCACCTTTCTATATGTGTGTATACTCTTAAATAATTAAAATCAATAAGTGAATTAGAATTGTTTTTAGAATTGTATTTAATAAATAAATTTGTAACTAATACTTCTGATAGAAGTGTGGGAATATATGTTTTAGGTGAGAAGAAAATCAACACAGAAAGAAGTATGATAAATAATAGGAGTATAGGAATTAATAAAAATATGCCTTAATGTTTAATTAAATATCAAAGAAATTAATAGTTTTTATATTTAATGTTGAGAAGGAAAAACTAGAAACTTATAATATGAAGAATGTTGCATTTGTAATCACAAAATTTTTAAAAAGTTAAAATTTCTTTAACTGTGACCACTGCTGGCACAGGTGACCACCAGAACAGATTCACCACAGGCAAATCCAAGAGGGAGACTAAGAAAACCTGCATTTCAGGTTGCACAGTGGTGTGTCCTGAAATGGAGAAATTAGTGATCAAGGACATGGTCAAACTGCTCCAGTGGGTGAACTACAATATATTCTCATGTGGGAAATATGTTGCAGGGCTCCCAGTAGCCCATGGAGAGTTAAAGAGTCACCATCTTTTCCCACTGTACTACGGAGGCCGGTGGGTGTGGGTCCAAACCCAGACGCCCAGACTTGTGAGATTCCAGGTAGGTCTAAAATCCTGACCTGGCAGAGGCTCACCACACAACCCAGAGTGTGACTAGAAAACAGGTGAATTTCAGACATGAAGAGTGTTGTAACCAGGGGAATTCAGGACACTCAGATCCAAGAGATCCCGGGTGCCTCTCACCCTGGTTTGCAGGATCAGCTAGGGAGCACTGGGAACCTCATGGGGATGGGGGCGTGAATGTGCACTTGGAACTGAGTCCAAGAGGCCAGGATACAGGTGGCAGAGTGGGTAAAGGACTGGCTTCTCCACTGCACAAGTAAACTCAGGGAAGACTCCAGGGGTACAGACTCCCAGCAAGGATCAGAAGCATCTGTGCTCCAGTGGTGTGCTGAGGGAAAAGATTCAGATCAAAAGGCACCTGGGTCTGGCTACACCCAAACTCAGGCTCCAGGAGCTCCGCCTCTGGGAACTTCTCTCATAGAACTCTGGAGTGACCCCCTGACTGTGAGTGGAGCAGACCACACTCTCCAACCCGCCCCACCTCGTACTCCAAGAAGGGAAGCTGAGAAAAGGCAACGTGACCAGCTCCAAAAAAAGAAGCACGGCAGCCTCTGACTACTCATCTTGTGCACAATACATATCCCAAGAAAAAATGGAAATAAAGACAATCGGGAACAGACAGAATTCCAAGAGTCAAAGAAGGTGTCAGTCAGTATTCCAGGAAGACATAACAACTTACACTTGTAGGCATCTGAGAATATAGCTTCAAAATACATGAAGCAAAAAATGATGGAATCACCAAACATTAGATGGACAGATATACCACCATAGTGGGCGATTTTGTAGTCCTTTCTCAACACTTGAGGGAAAAGTAGTAAAACAAATCAGTAACAATACAAAATGGTACTTCTCCAAAATCACCTTGGGGTCTTTTAAAAGTACAGATCCTTAGTCAGTAGGCCTGGCTTGAGACTGAGATCCTGTATTTGGAAAAGGACCAGATTATGCTAATGTGGTTGTACAAAAATTAATGTCTATAATAGAAAATTTGACCCCAGAAATAACTGAAAACAATACACTCAACAAGTAAAGGATAAATTCTGTATTCAATTACACAAGGAATATTAATAAAATATATTTATATGTATACAGCATATGTACACACATACATGTGTATATGTTTCTATCACATGTATACCTGTGTGCGTGTGTATATGCCATGTCACTGAACCATCTGTTAAGACTTATAATTTTCAGTGGGTTAAATCTATATAATGTTCTCTGAGTAAAATACAACTTAACAGGAAAGCAATAATAAAAAAAATAATTAGAAACTTACAATGAAAAATTATAATACATATATTTAAATACATTTTTAATCACCCACAGGTCAAAAAAATGCATGATGAAAAAACAGTAATATAGCGTTTTTAATTAGAATTTTATTTCTAAATGCTATAGGTAGCATTTGTGCAAAATTCTTACTTGTAGTTCTCTATGCTTGCTTTATCACAGGAAATATCTTTTTCCATTTCTTCTTTAGCTTGTTTAGCTTTCAATTTGGCATTTTCAAAGGCGTCTTTAGCTTCTTCAAGTGTTTCATGAACTTGTCTGAACATTTCCATTACCTGGATGTAAAAAGTATTTGTTTAACATATTAACTTAATGGTTAATTAAAAGAAAGAACTTTAACTTAGGGAACTTCATACACATTTTCTTCTCATATTTAGTCTACTGTTTCAAAAGTGGAGTTTAAGGTTTCCTTTACCCTGGTGGGCATCCACACTATAAGTTATTGACAAAATAACTTCAATATCCAGATTAACATGTCCAAAATAAAATCATTGTCGTTTCACCTTCCAAAAGAGTTTTTCTTATTGTTTTCATTGTGCAAATAATATTTCATTGTACAGAAATATGAGAACAAAGATGAGTAAAGAAAATAAAAGCACCTGTACTTCCTTCATCCAGAAATAACTATTGTTATCTCAGTGTAATGGTTAAAAATATTTAACTTTTTTGGCGGGGGGTACTGAGGATTAAACTCAGGGACACTCAACCACTGAGCCACATCCCCAGCCCTATTTTGTATTTTATTTAGAGACAGGATCTCACTGAATTGCTTAGCGCCTTGCTTTTGTTGAAGCTGGCTTTGAACTTGTGATCCTCCTGCTTCAGCCTCCCAAGCCACTGGGATTACAGGCATGTGCCACCATACCTCACAAAATATTTAATTCTTAATTGGTTTCATCCATTAGCAAACTTCATAAACAGTCCCCTTTCCCTCTGCAACTCGCCCTTCTGTGTCTCTATCTATCATCTATGTACATAACTCTGAAACACATCATTTTTATATACTCTTCCCTTATACACACATTGTACCTTCCTCAGTTCATTGTCAATTATGTGTACATCATGCACAACTTGATGTGCACAACATAGGAGCAGTGCATAGCCTAAACATTACTGTGATGGAAGACTCATTAGTAAACTGCACTACCTCCAACATTTCCCTCAACTGTATTGTTAAAGGAAAATACACCAAGAAGCTAAGGCTTTTTATAAATATTGGTTGTTACCTTACACTCCAGAGAAGGGCTAAAAACTTGTATTCTTACCAACAGAACAAGAGGGAACCATGTTTCAAAATCCTTTCCAACATTTTAAATAAATTTTTTCTAAAAGAGTTTTCAAATTGACAGATTGAAGAGGTTGTCCATGTAAATTTTATTAGAGTTTGATGATTTCTTTATATAAAAATTTTGGAATGTCTGACTTTCTTTTATTATTGAAAGCCTTCCTATTTTAGAATATATATATATATATATATATATATATATATGTGTGTGTGTGTGTGTGTGTGTGTGTGTGTATACACACACATATATAGAGAAAAAGTATATATCATTTGTATATATATCATATCTTTATTTTTGTCACTAAGAATTTATAATTGTTGTCTTACATGTCTGCCTTTATACATTTCTTAATAAATATTTAATGACTATTATTTACAATATAAAATTTCCATTTGTATTCCTAACTATTTATTGACAATATGGAGAAAGATAATTCATGTTTGTAAATGGGGACTAAAATAAACCCATCTCTATCTTTCTCCCTTTCTCTCCTATTGGTTCTGTTTCTCTGAAGAATCCTAATACAGCTACCTTGAACCTAACAACTCTCCTACTGTTCCCACATCCCTAAACCACTCTCAGTATCCTGCATTCCTGGTCTTACCCACCTTCTAGATATTCAGGGTCCAAAATGAGAGTCTTGCCCCCTGCAGTGGGACTCAGGGACTGTGTTGAAACTATTATGGGTGGACACCAGAGGGAAAGTCATTCCCCACAATGCTGATGGGGTGCTTTTAAAAAAGGTTATAAATGCCATGCACAAAACACGAAACCTCTACAACAGAGTGGAAGAAAAGTGATTCTTTAGAAAAATAAAATATTTTTCATTTATAAAACAAGCATAACTGACAAGATTCAAAAATGAAAAGCAGAATTATGAACAATGAGAGGATCCACCCCTCCTCAGAAAGAGTCTCTGTAGGAAGAGACTGTAGGAAGGTAGGATAGAATAGTTCTTCAGAGCACAAGTTCTGTAGCAGGAGTCCTTGTGTTCAACCCCTCTTATGTCTATTATTTAGATCTTGTGTAATTTCTTTAAACCTTTGTGCGACAGGTTTTCATTTACAAAATGGATGTAATAATAGTACCTGTATTCACATGTGTGGATGAATGAGATACACAGAGATGAAACAGAACATAACAAAACTCATCAGATATAATAAGAGTTGTGTTCATAGGGAAACTCATAGCTATACACATTTACATTTAAAAAGAAAGATCCCATTTCCATAACCTACACAAAACCCCAGCAAAAACAAACAACAACAACAAAGAAAAGAAAAGAAAAAAAGTAGCAAGCTAAACCCAAAAGCAGAAGAAAGGAAATGATAAAGATCAGAGACAAAATGGAGAATAGGAAAACAATAGAGTTAATATATATCAAAAGTTGGTGTTTGAAAAGCTAAAATTTGCAAAGATTTAGTTAGACCAATCTAGAAAAAAAAATGAAGAAAGAAGCTCAAATTAATAAGATCAGAAATGTGACAACCCAATTGTCTGCCATGCCAGACCCCTATCACATTGTGACATAATAGCACTAGGCACCCAAGCATTATTTAGGCATTGTGTAATTTCAATAGGTTTCTGGCAAATGCCTCAAAATTGGGTCAAGACAGCACATTAAAAAAAAAAAAATCAAATGATATTATAAACAAAACACCATAAACTTTATATAGGATGGACGGAGAGCCTGAGAGAGAAGGATGCCTTCCAAGTAGGCCTCTGGGCCCCTCAGTCCCTTTCCTAGAATTACCTAGAATTGTCTGCAGTGTGAGGGTAGCAGATGCAGACTGCAACTAGAATTCCAAAACGGGAAGAAAAAAGAAAGTGGTGGGGGAGAGACAAAACAAACAAACAAAAGCAAAAAATATCACAATACAGGGGGAGGAAGTAAGTCGAGTTGTTCTCTTGGGTAAAGAACTCTTGGAATGTCTTGCCTCTCAGATACCCAAAATGTAAAAATCAAGGTCACACGTGTCTGCCCACACTAAGCCTTCACCAGGACACTCCTTATTCCCTTCAGAATTCTGGACATTACCCATTTTACTTCTCAGAATCCACAGTGTGTTATATTTTCTTACCTGATTTTGAGGCCTGGGCTAACCATTGGCCATTCCTCTCTGTGGGCAATGCATTAATCTGCATCCCCAACCACTTCCTGAGTTCTCACATTCTGGGTCACTATATACACGCCCGTCCTATTCTCTAACAGCTCCAGACAAGTAGGGAGAGCCTACATTCTGCAGCCCTCTGAAATTACTCAAATTAGCCACTCCATGGGGCTCACATGATTATAGAGGTACAAGTCTTAGATCTGTGGTGTGAGCTGACAGGCTGGAGACCCAGGCAAAATTTACAGTCTAAATCCAAAAGCAGTGTGCTGGTAGAACTCCTTGCTGCTCAGAGAAGGTCAATATTATGTTAAGGAATTTAACTGATTGGATAAGGCTCACCCACATTATGAAGGGTAATTATTCTAAATCCACTGACTTAAATGTTAATCTTACCCAAAACACTTCTTAATTGCAACATCCAGAATAACGTTTTGCCAAAAATCTGGGCCCTGTGGCACCACCAGGTTGACACATAAAATTAACCATCGAAGTGACTCTGATAGGCTTTACACAAAGTTTGTTATTTTCCTGATGTGCTAGGTGAATTTGTGCTTTTCTCCCATCCAACATCCTGCCTAGTCTTCCAATCATCCAAAAACTCTGCTTTTTCCTGCCTACAACGTTGCCAAGTTCCTCTATCAGAGAAAAGCACACTAAAACAACAAAGGGATACTAATTTAAACACATGTGGGCAAATTTTTTTCAAGTATGACAATAAAAATGTTGACAAAATATATGAGTTCTAAAATCAGTTAGGATTGCATTTAACTGGAAGTAACAGAAATAAGCCAAGTAAGTTTCTTACATGAGAATGCAGTTGTACCTTTTTTTTCACAGAAATGGATTCAAGTTCCCCTTTGTCTTTGTGTCTGTCCAGCCATCTCTACAACTGGCTTCCATTCCTAAAACTGTTCCATGCCATACAATGGAAATTAGAGCTGTAGCTATCATGTAGATTCTAGGTTGCTGGAAAGTGGAGAAAAATTCTAAAAGGTGCTTCCTTTGAGTGAGTTGGTCCATTTCAAAGATTTTTCATAGAAACTCCATCCAATGATTTCTACCTCTATATCATTAGAACACAATGGGAAAAAGGGGGGACTGGGAAATAATTTGACACATTGCGTTCCAGCCATGCAGAGATGAGTTACTAAGAAAGGATGGGAATTCTTGCCCGCGGTGGAAGCATGAGACGTCTTTGGCACTGTCTCTTCTAGAGTAATGTGAATTGTTACAGGTACTTCAAGGAGAAACTTGGTATTATCCATAAAATCAAAAATAAATATAATCCATATCCTAGTAAAACACCCTACTAGTTAAGAATACATAGCTAAGAAAAAATTCACATGCACCTAGAGAGGAACCCATTTACAGATGATTATTGTTTCAAGTCAAATCAGCAGTTGTGTCAGCAAAATTTGGAAATAAACGTCCAAGAGAGAAAATGCTTAATAATAAATTGTGAGGTATCTACTTGATGGAACACAGCAAGTAAAATAAGTGAATCAGAGTATCTCAATTGTAGCTTGATTAAAGTAATGCAATCAAAGATTAAAGAACAAGATGCCCAGTTATAAAATTTATGATACTATTTATAACTTTTAAAGATACAGATTATTTTAAAATTATCTTTATATAAATTATTCAAATTTTTCCTAGAAATAATGAAATTTATATTAGTTATCTTTCAAAAGGAGGGTGGAAATGGAACTGCTGAAGGGAACACAAAAGACATGGAACACTTGTTTTATACACTTTAAAATAATCAAAAATAAATATAACACAAACTTAGGCTTGGTTTTTGTGATAGATATAAATAAATTGGTTTTTTTTCTATAATATGATCCCACAATAGGAGAGGTAAATGTTAATTAATCATTAAAGACCCTTTCACTTACACTTTTTCATCAACAATGAAATCACTGATATATTCTACTCAGTTCAATTGTGGCTTTAAAAAATACCAGACTGTCTAGGCACAGTGGCACACACCTGTAATCTCAACACCTGGGAAAGCTAAGGCATGAGGATCACAAGTTCAAAGCCTGCCTCAACAACTTGTCAAGGCCATAACCAACTTAGCAAGAACCTGTCTCAAAATAAAATATAAAAAAAGGGATGGGAATTTGGCTCAGTGGTTAAGAACCCCTGGGTTCCATCCCTAATTACCCCTGCCCCACCACAATATATATATATAAATATACATATATTAATTTATATGTAAAAAGTGTGTGTGTGTGTGTGTGTATGTATATATATACATATGAATGAATATATATATATATATTCATTCCAGGCTGTTTTGAATCTCCAAAATGTCATTAGTAAATTAACTAATGTTAATCTCCCTAGGTATAAATATAAATGAAGAAAATATAGATAAAATGTACCAATAGATTGTACTGTATACAGTCTATTAAGTCCTATGAAAAATAAATAGCATGTCAATTTGGAGAAAAAAATATTAAACTTTTAAAAATATGTTAATTTCTTATGGTAGAAATATTTTTGCATAACTAACCACCAGTTTCTGAGATGCATATCCATGCAGTTATTCATTTACCTCAGCTTCCTTTTGAGAACGCTCCTTCAGAGCTTTGACTTCCTGCTGCCGCTTTGATCGCAGTAGAGGGCCATATTGAAGCATGTAGTCGATGTCCCTTTGAACCTTCGAGTTGGCTTCTTCTAGCTTTGTCTTTTGTTTCTCCACATGTTCCAGTTGACGAATTCTACCTTCCAGATGCCATTGTAATTCCATAATGTCTCTCAAGTAGGCATCATGTTCTAGATGTAGAACAAGAACGAAAGAAAATCAGATTTTGAAACAACAGATCCAAAAGGAAATCTTTGAAAATAACTGAGATGTTTTTGCTTCAGAAATTACTTTGTGAATCTTACTAATGTTAAAATCTAAATCGAAAATAAGGATTATTTTAATATTAAATTGTAAAATACAGTGCTTTCTTCATTCGTCACTAAACAAATTAAAATGTGTTTTATTAATTAGTAATTGTTTAAGTACAAATTACACTCACCATGATCTGCAGATATACTGATCATTGTCTTACTGCACTCTGTGTATGCAACTGCTCCAAAGTGAAAAAAATTGCAAGAGTGGGGGCCTTCTAAAACCACCCACATCTAAAGTGATGAAATTGGAGTTACAAATATCAGAATGGAAAAGGCAAGAATTACTACTGGTGATACAATTATATGACAAAACGCAAAAAAATCAGCTGAAAATTGTTGTAAAGTTAATATACAAAATAAATGTTTTCATAAAGAATATCTTGAAAATGTTTTTGCAGCAACAAAACTATAATGTAAAATAAGCTGCATAAATCTAGTAATAATCTCTACATGAACCAAGAAAGGCCTGAAGGAAGATAACAACAACATGCCATCCAACAACTAGAAAATGAATTTGAATCAATGGATAAACATGTTTTGTTTTGTATAAAAATGTTTGAAATTTTTAACATGGAAATTTCCTTTGATTACTTTATAAATTTAATTAAGTTCCTTCAACCAACCAAGGCAATTTTAGGCTAATAAGATTTCCTCATTGTGTTAACCTCCTAATGTTAAACCAATCTTGCATTTTTGGAATAAAACTAGGCAGGTTAGTTTTTGTTGTTGCTTTTAATCTTTCTAAAGAGATTTATTGATGGAATTTGCTGATGTCTTCACAGGATTATTTTGTACATTTATATTCATGATTAATACTTATCTGTGAATCTTATTAAGTCCAAAAAAAGTTGTTTTAGTATTGCATTATAAAATACATTGTTTCTTCATTCATCGCCAAAGAAATTAAAACATGTTTATAAATTAGTATTTATTTTAGTAAAACTCCCACTTATTCTGATCAATAGACATACTGATTCTGGTAAACAAGCTACCCTATGATTCATCTTGCCATTGTGGTTCTCCATATTTACTCTTTCCATTAGTGACTTCTTAATGAGCCAATACTTAGCTTTATGTATCTTCTGATTGTATATTTTGCACTATTTTCCACTTTGTTATATATGTATTTTTCATATTTGTACTATTCACCTAATTTTTATTTATAATTTATACTAGCTTCTTATATCATTTTCACTTTCTTTTCTCTAAGACTTTACAGAATTTTGAAATTACACATAAAGCCCTATCTCTCTAGTGTACACGTATGCATTTATTTTGTTGGGGAAAAAATTTCAGTTTTTGTGTCAGGAGCTGCCACATAGGAGCTGAGCGCCCCCTAGCTTTGAACAACGGAAAGGGGGAGACTGGCTTCCTTGACCTGGAAGCAGGTGGATCCCCATCTCCTTCAGCAGAGAAGCAAAGCTTTGGGAATGGGCGTTACTCAATGGGAGAGGGCTGCCCCTTGTAACATTATCTTTTTGCCTTACATGGATGGAATGTTCTTTCCAACAGCCTCCCCAAATAAAACCAGGGTTCGAGGGGGCGCTCTCTCTTTTTCCAACAGACCCCTAAGGTCCAGAGCCATCACAGAACCCAAAGGAAAAGGTATTTTCTGTCTGTGTGTAATTATTTCGTGCCAACCCAAATTCACCTGGAGTGACCCTGAAGGGTTTATTTGTGTGTCGGGGCATTTTTGAGTCAAAATCTTTCCATTAATGGCCATGTGAATATTTTGGTTATCTATTCATCAATCCATTTTTTTCTGTGCACTTATTATTCAGTTCATCAAGATTTTAACAATATTCTAATAAATTTGTTCTTAATATCTTCTTTACTATTAATCAGTGCCACATCTCTATGTAATTTCATTCCAAATGTCACTCATGGGTACATCCTCTGTGATTTTGAATGACCTTGGAATTGGTTCTCCATGTTCACTCTTTTCATCAGTCTCCTTTTAATGAGCCAACTTTTACATGTCTGTATCTTCTGAATAATGTATTTTAAATTATTTTCCCATTTTGTAATTGTTTTTTATTTTTCTTTGTATTTATTATTTTTGCTTTTTAAAATCTAAAGTCATTTTTATAATCAATTAGTCCTTTTTTGATGCAACAAAAGCTACTGATTTCTCTTTAAATAATAGGATGATAGTAAGTTTTTAATGATACATTTCTGAATATTTTCTAATTTCTTGGAAATGTACAATGTGATACCATTACTTTCTTACTTTGTCTACCCTCACTATAGACAGTAACATGTTTAGCCTTTTACTACTGTGGTATTAAATATCACCATCATTATTTTCATGTTTATCTTACGGTAGATATTCATTATATTCTCCCATTCTATACTCCATGCTTTTAAATATTTCATCATCCTATTCGTTCTATTGCAGCAATACATTCTATGCAATTTCTTCAAATTTTAGTTACCAATTACTTTTCTCTTCTGAGTCTAATGAACAATACAAGTAACTATTGAATTGGCAAGTTTAAGTAATGTATTTTTCATTTCTAGTAATGTTTTTCCTTCCTATTTTGCCATCTTTAAAAAATTGTCCTTGCGTTTATTTTCAAGCATCTCTCTTTAGTTCTTGAAACAAATCATACTTATTTTATAATCTCATGTATAATACAATCTCTGAAATATTTAAGTAAAATTCTGTGGTTTGTACTCATTTGCACTCATTAAATCAGAATCTCTGTGTGTTTTATAGAATTTTATGCTGAGCTAGTCCTCCTTCCCTCACCCCAGAACTTTATCTGAGCTGATGCTCTGGTGCCTACACTGAAATTTTAGTCTTTTGGAGGAAATTTGTCTTTGCTCCTGCCAGATGCCTCATTTTACTATCGACCTACAGAACATCTAAATAATATTCTCCACTTAATTTTCAGACACATAGACAGCTGGAAGTTGAGTCGCAAATTCGTTTGAAATTAGGACATTAATAAATCTTAGGGAACATTGTTTTCCTCCATTGACTAAATGAAACAAGCAAGTTTGTTGTCTGACCTGAATGACAGGTTTATTCATGATTTGCTCTTATGCTAAGTATGTAGATCTTCTGATTCTGAGCTTCCTCATCATCTCTAATTAGACTTGTCACTTTGGTTTAGCCTTAGGCTTTATTTCTGGTCTCCTCTCTCCTTCAGATACATCAAAATGGGAACCCATGAAAATCCTGGTCTCCCTCAAGACTAAATCTAACACTGATGCCTAATTATTTCCAAAAGTTTCCATTCCAAACATAAAAGTTGGTACTGGTGTGTTTCTTATTTTCTTAACAATTTATCAGGGTATTTTAAGGGATTTTTTAAAAATCAAAATACACAGAAAAAACTGACAACTAAAAAACACTTGAGTATCATTGGTTTTTTTCTTCTGATTTTAATGTATTGTTGGATATTTCAGTATCCTATCCTTGATAATTCAATGAATAACAAGACAGGAAATCATTAAGGAGATAGAAGACTTTAACAGCAGTGTCAGCTAGCTTAACCTAACTGACCTGTCTACTAGATACTCTGCTCAACAACAGCAAAACATGTGCTAATTTCATCTGTACAGAACATTTTCTAAAGGCCTAGGCAATTCTTAAAGTATAAGTAATTTTAATACAATTGAAATAATTCAAGAATGTTTTTGAGCAAATAAAATCAATTTAGAAATAACAGAAAATTTTGAAAATCTCATTATATTAGCAAATCAAGCAGCAACTTCTAAATAAATAACAGATCCAAAAACAATCACAAGGGAATTTAGATATATTTTGACTAAATAAAAATGAACTCAGCATATAAACATTTATGAAATGCAATTAATATAAATGCAATTAATACAGGTCTTAGGAGGAAATTCATAGATTGAAATATCAATTCTAGAAAAAATTTACCAAGGAAAAAAATCAAAGCTTCCACTTTGTGTTTGTGTGTGTGTGTATGTATGTATGTGTGTGTGTGTGTGTGTGTGTGTATAAATGTAAATTATTCCTAAGAAAGTTCCAGATGAAAGTCAGAGAAAAATCAGTGATATAAAAGTAGAAAAACAATAGAGAAGTCAGTAAAAGAAAAAGTTGACTTTTTGAAAAGGTCAACAAAATTGACAAACGTTTCGCTAGACTGACCAAGAAAAAAAAGGAAGGAACAAATTACTAGTATTGGGGAAAAAAGAGGTGTTACCACTACTCTTGCTATGGAAATTAAAATAATTATAAAGGAATATCATAAACAAAGTTTTGCCAGCAATCAGACAACTAAATGAAATGTCTGGATTCCTCAGAAAACATAAATTATCCAAACTGGTTCAAAAAGTAGAAAACAGAAGAGAAAGAAGTTAGCTATTTAAAATAAGTTGGTATTTTAGTAAGTTGGGTTTTTTTTGTATTTTGTTTTTTGTTTTTCTGCTGAGATTAAAAGACCTGACTAGAAGAATTTTAGGGTAGAAAAAGTTTAGTTGAGGGCTCACAGTCTCAGAGATCTCCGTCCATCAACATCCTCGGGGCTTGAGCGAAAGCTGAACATTATGGTGGAAGAATGTGACATAAGGAAGCAGATCACATGATGAACAGGCAGCAGAGAGAGACAGATTCCACTCTCCAGATACAAAACATATACCCCAAAAGCACACCTCCAATAACCCATCTCCTCCAACTATACCCTACCCACCTTAAGTTACTACTCAGTTAATTCTGTCAGGGGATTAATTCACTGATTGGGTTAAGACTCTCATAACCAGAACATTTCTTCCCTAAACCTTCTTGCCTTGTCTCACACATGAGTTTTGGGGGACATGTCATATCCAAACCATAACAGCTGGCAAATTTAGACTAAACAGGTTGGCCGTGAATATAAAAATTTGTAAGTGGGCCCTGCTAGAGAAAGAACAATTTCAAGAAAATTAAAAAGCAAACAATCAAAGGAAAAAAACCTCAAGCTCATAACTTGTGAAGGTTTAGAGGTCAAATTCAACTAATAAATTAACATAACTGCTCCAGATAAGTAAAATTCCTAGGATCAAAATAGAGGCAAAACAGCAATCAAAAGCTCACTGGACTTGACCTCTCCCGGAACAGGCCACCAATTGCCTTGACCAGCACAGCCAATCTCGTGGGTTCTGGTGAGGGGCAAAGAGGGATGAGAAAAATAAAGACACAGATTGTGAAGACATAGCTGGGGTCAAGTGGAGCATGGCTCTCTGAGGGAGAAGCAGGTCTAAAGAATTATGCCAGCAATCTTTATTTATATATGTCTCCTTATTGGATTAAAGTTTATACAAGCATTATTTTTTTTTGTATTCATGCTAGTTACAGAGTTAGCAATATTATGCAGTTTATTCAGCAGTTACATTCTATAGTTGTAATGTGCAATGTTAGGAGCTTTGTGTAACTGTCAAGAAAGTCCATTGTTTAAAGTTACTCTTATGCAGGCAGGTTTAGGAGCAGTGGAGCTTGGTGAAACATTGTGGTTGTCTAGCAAGAGAGTTCCTCTATTCCCAGGAACTATGTGCCTGAGATCAAGGTTAAGGATGATAAGACTGTAGCACAAAACCTCCTTATGGAGGGCATTACCACAGCAGCTAGACATCCTGCATCTTTGTACAGATACTTTCCCAGGCATCCAGCATGCCATAGCCATGAAGTCATCAGAGACCCCAGTCTCAGACACTGCTCTCCCATTCTCTGTCACCGCTCTCCACATATAAGTCCATATAGACCCCATGTAGATTATACACAAACTGATCAGCAAACAAAGACTAATAAAACTAGGCCTCAAAATTAACTTTTTCTATTATACTAACAAGGACGAAGCATTATGAAAAGTGCAGATGACTCCTTGTGGGTGTGAATTTGAGTCTGCCCAAGAATCACCTGAGATCTAGGATTTCCCAGGGTGTCCGTGCTGACTCGACTGTAGTCTCATTGTTTTTAAAACACAAATACAGGCACATATATAGCATGCATTTATAAATCACGTAGTTACGCTATTGCATAGATAACAGAGTATACATATTAATTCTATTCAAAGAAAAAAAAAATTAGAAAAAGAATAACATTCAAGAGAATAAATAAAAGATCTAATGTTTTGTTGAAACTCCCCTGAGTGTGTACCCCTCTTTGGAGACTATAGCTTGAAAGACTTATGACATGACAAAAATGTATGTATGGATTCACCATGACACATACCTTTAGTTAATAACTATTGTCTCAGAGTAATAATTATTAGCATTCCTTTTTCTCTCAAGGTTTTCTTGATTTAAATGATAGATTACATGGATGCCCAATTGTTTAAAAAACAACAACAACAACAAAGTATATGAATTCTGAATTAAATTTTTCCCCTTATAAAGGGGTAAAAACCTCCCAGCCTCAGGCAGAATCAAGTAGTTAGGAATGTTTTGACAGGCAGTGTTCAGAGCACAAAAACAAAAACAAACAAACAAAAACCCACACGTCTAGATTGTGTAGCACTTCGGACCGTGTCCCTGGCTCTGCAGTCTAAAAGACATCAGTTTCTTCTTAAACATTTTTTACTTACATGACTTGGAAACATTAAGGGTTCCATCTCTGATACAAACTCCTTTAAAAGTAAATTGGCTTCTGAATTCTTAAAAACACAGACACATGTAGTTTTCAACACATCACTGAAAACTTTCAATTTTTCTACAATTAAAATGTGGCCAATAATACCAACTAGAAATCACTTTAAATTTCTAGTAACTTAAATACTACTGCCAAGGTAAAAATATATACCGAATGTCTGCATGCCCCTGGGATATCATAAATGCATGGAATTTCCAACAGACCTAAATGACAGCAGGCTCAGTTTTCCTCAGTGCATTTCCAGTGTATGCCTATGAATTCAGCAATCTTATTAATACCTTCTTTCAAAAGTGTCCTGGTTTGTAGACAACATACAGTCACTCTAAACAGGTGATTTTTTTTTGTACACAGAGCTCCGAATGATTATCTGTGCTTCCCCAACAAAGGAAATGGCAACAATAGAAAATCCTTATTATTACCTTTCTGCACAGCTAGTGGGAGTTCTTGAAGTTTCCAGATTGACCACGCATCAATTTTTGTGGTAATCTTTCCCTTTCTTAATTTTTGTTGATTTAAAGTTTCTTCGGCAATTGCCCGGTCAGTTTCTAGACATTTAATGAGATGGATCGTCTCTGACAGCAATGTTTCCATTTCTTTCTTTAACTCAGGACACTTTTCATCTGAAAATAGGAAAATGCATTTACATTTGTTAGTGAAGCAGCCTGCAAGCTGTGTGATAGGAACATGGGTCTTAGTTGGATTATTATTCTTTTAAATATTTACGCATTTAATAAGAGAATGTTAAAAAAATGAATTAGCCTTTTAAAGACAGTCTTATTATAATACAATCATAACATTGATTATAATCTTTGAAGGCAAAATTTTTCAATGAGCAATTTCTATTAAAAAATCACATAGAACCAGAAGAATGAGAAATTATACTTCATTTTTGTAGGATATGTCAAAATGCATTCTACTATCATGTATAACTAATTAGAATATATTTTAAAAGGGCTACATCTTAAACCATATCTTCAAGAATAATATAATTTCATTACAGTACATGGAAAAAACATGTTATATGCACAACTGTACTATACAACTTTATTTTTAATTTATGAATGTGTTTCCTACCATTCTATAAGAAAACAAATCAAAATTATTATATCAGACAAATACTGAAGATCCTCAGATGGTTCCTAGAAATGAACACTCTATATTCTTATCAGACAAATAACTTCTCTCTTTAGCTTTACCAGGAATTCATCAGAATTTCCAAATTCTATTTATTTTCTTATAATACAAATTAACTCCTTTAATGATAGATATTTGTGATTCCTGGTTCACAGCCCTGAAATGATATGACTTAATATTTATTAACGAAAGTATTGCCATGGTATTCATCCATCTATTTACAGAAAAAAAAATGTGTACAGAGGTTATTATTTTCAGGAAATAGGATCTACCCTGGAGATAAGAAGGTAAAGAAGATAGATAATGTTCCCATCCTTATGGGATTTATATGTATAAGCAGTGACTTTTGCCAAAGTGTGACATGATGAGAATACTTATAACCAAACTGTCAAGAGCTAAGGTGGGAGGGAAAATAGTATAAAAGCAGAATGGAAAAAGGCAATTAATAAATTTCCTTTTTGTTTTGCTTTTGGACAATAAAGACAATGATTTTTCTGCTCTGTGATCAGATTACGTAAAGGTCACATGATGGTTATAAGTGTAAGCTCACAGTCACTCAGTAGATCCAACGTACTGGGCTTGTCAGAGAAATTCTGCATGGTGCCAAAAAGAATTCTTGACAAACAGGATTCTCTATTTTAATGCATAAAAATGATTTTCTCTGGTCTGGCCCTTAAGTTAGTCTCTCTAAATCAATTGTTTGGTTTTGCCAAGTTCTACCACTTCCTGGGTACTTTATATACTTTTTTTGTGAATCAAAAATTTTTAAATGAAAACATACTTATGGAACACTGTGTTCTCCAGCCCAATTTGTGACTCACTCTGTCATCAATTTATAAAATTTCAGCCTGAAATTCACAGAGAAGTGAATACTATTTAAAATTAAAACATTCTGAACTGGATTTATATGTGTTTTGCCAAAATTGCTCATTGTTTTAAGTTGTCTTTTATTCTGTTCCTGTAATAGCCTTCTAAAATAATTGCTGTACATACATATCTTGTATGTACAGCATAATCTAATTCATTATATTAAGCATCTACTTTTTTCCTACAAATTGTCACATTTACTGTTTCATACTGGCTAAGTAAACAATCACCTGCAATTTTTAACATAAACATTTAGTTACAATAAATCTCCCTCATCCTGCCACTCTTGTGTATTTTAGACTCAAATGTACATATTTATAATAAACATAAATGTAGATAATTTAGCTATGACCATGATCATTAATATGTTAATCTTTTCTTTCTGCATTTGTCATTTGAAAACTTGGGAAGTAAACACTCAGGTTGTCAACTTCATCGTAGATGCAAATAGTGAAAAGAAAAACAGTCAAAACAGAGTCCCATCACGATGAGATCTTTGAAGAACAAAATACTCTTCCTCTTTGAAGGAAAAGTGAGTTTATCACTTTTTCTTCATTAACTTTTTCTTACAAATTTTTGTGGTGGGCGAAGTATTTTATGTAATTTTGAGAATATAGTCAATGTAATGTTAACCCAAATTTTAGACCAGCATATAAAATATGGTATGTTTTATAAAATGCAAAATGTTTAGTAATCACAACTGAAATACAGACTAGGGCTGCAATGTCCAATATGGTACTCGTGAACCACAAGGAGTTCACATTTAAATGTAACTTAACAAGATTAAACTTAGGAATTAAGTTCCTCAGTCCCATCTAGTCTCATTTCAAAGGCTCACCAGCTGTATGTGGTTAATAGCTTATTCTATTGGACAAAACAGATGAAGAGCACTTCAATTATAATAACAGCCCCTTTACTACAGTTGTCTTCTTGAAAGTTGGGCAGACATCATGATACACTCAGCACCTAGAGCAGTATCTGGTACATAATAGTGTTAATAAATATTCGTGGAATGAATGCCTCATTGAATGAAATGGAGGGCTGATTTCTCTGCTCAGTGCTCACAAGAATTATAAAACTCATAAACATGAATACTGTGAAAAGTAGAAATATATTAAGTGAAAAGTCAGTGAGCTCTAAATATAATTCCATTTATCTAAGTATGAAGAACAATTTCACCTCTCTCTTCTTCTGGTTTGACCTCTTCCACTGGTCCTTCAATACTCAAATCTTCTTTTAGGTCCTTTGTGGGACAAGTTTTTCTCCTACATAATAGGAAAGAAGCAATTGATCAGTAAAGGAGAAATGTACTTGTGGTTAGTAAAACAAATTTTAGGTGCTATGCTACTCTTACACAGAATTTTTTAAATGTTTCTGGTAAAACTTACTTACTATAAACTATTTTCTGGTAAAACTGACTATAAACTATTTTCTGGTAAAACTTCTGGTAATCTTACTATAAGGAACTAATGTAGGAAAATTCTAATAGGTGGTAGGATTTATACTAACTGATAAATGGAATAAAATTTGTTGCAAGAAATTGGTCTTTCTTCAACAATATTGCTATTAGAAAAGGGGCGTTGATTCAAAACAATTTGCATGAGCTATTTCTCTAATTTCAAAGTCAGCCATTTCTGGGAAAGCAATATAAATTAGAAGGAGCAAAAATAACATTTCAGATTTAAAGATAATAAGCTGTTAGAAAAATGTTATTTCCAAAGTATCTTTCTAAGCTACTATGTGTTGAATAATTAAATATTTCTCATTATCGGTATTTCTCTGATCCAGTTCTAGGATCCTAAACTAGCCTTCATTTATTTTTGAAAAGGTATTTTCTCACTGATAAAAGTTAAGAAAATTATTATTATCACCAAAACAGGGAGTTTCTTTTAGTTTTGATTAAATTATTAATCTTTTAATAAAGAATTATTACAAGTTAATTTAAGAAAGCATATCAAAAATCATAAAAATCACATAAAATAATCCATATTCACTTATTCTCTTCAGAGATAACATAGATTGTAAGTCTAATGATATTTTAATTTCTATAAAATTAGAGTCATTAAAAACTTGTACCATACTTTAGTTAACATGACACTGTTTCCAGTACATTTTAATGTCATTTAATATTTCTGATGGTTGCATATTCTTCTTCACATACTCTTGTTTCACAGTTCATTTAGGAGATCCCATTCTTTCGGGAGACCAGGAAAATACTTGTTATGTTTTCTTTCTTTGGTTTTGATTTTCTTTTCAAAATGTTTTTGTTGAAAAAAAATGGGGTCTTTTTTCTTGTTTGTTTGCTTTAAAACATAGAAAAATAATTGTCCTACCACCAATTAGTAAGTCAATTGGATTCTAATGCTAATTACATGATCTGGTAAATTATTATACACAATTAAGTCTATTTTCAGATGTTGTCTTTTAATGTTCTGTTCTGATTCTATCTCCGTTCTTCTATTGTTTTGTATTGAGTTAAGTTACATCATTTAAAATCAACCATCTATACACAATGGAGTATTATGCAGCACTAAAAAATGACAAAATCATAGAATTTGCAGGGAAATGGATGGCATTAGAACAGATTATGCTAAGCGAAGCTAGCTAATCCTTAGAAAACAAAAGCCAAATGTCTTCTTTGATATAAAGAGAGCAATTAGGAACAGAACAGGGAGGAAGAGCATGAGGAAAAGATTAACATTAAACAGAGACGAGTGGGGGGAGAGAAAGGGAGAGAGAAGGGAAAGCATATGGAAATGGTAGGAGACCCTCAATGTTACACAAAATTACATATAAGATGTTGGGGAAAGGGGGGGAAAACAAGGGAGAGAATTGAACAACAGCAGATGAGGTAGAGAGGGAAGATGGGAGGGGAGGGGAGGGGGGATAGTAGGGGAAAGGAAAGGCAGCAGAATACAACAGTCACTAATATGGCATTATGTAAAAATTGTGAATGAGCAACTGATGTGATTCTGCAATTTGTATTTGGGGTAAAAATGGGAGTTCATAACTCACTTGAACCAAATGTGTGAAAGATGATATGTCATGAGCTTTGTAATGTTTTGAACAACCAAAAAAAAAAAAATCAACCATCTGATTAAGCAGTCTCTCCCCTTCTCCCTCTCAGTAGTCTTTGTGGATATTTTACATAAACAGCATTGTGTAAAAGTGACCTTTTGCAATAATATTTTATTTTATAGATAAACCATAGTTTCTTTATTAATGAGTACATCGATCGATTTGGGATTGTTTCCATCTTTTAACTATTGTGAATACTTATGTTATGAATAAGTCTTTCTCTGAATGCCTGTTTTGAACCCTTTTGGGATATACACCTCAGGGTGAAATTACAAATGGTAATTTGGTAATTCACTTCCTGAAGAACAAACTGCTTTTCACAGTATCTGAATCATGTTATATGCACACCAGCAATCTACAGGATTCCACTGTTGAATATAGGTGGAGAGCAGGTATCCTTATTTTGCTCCTGATCTTAGGTTGAAACTTTCAGTTTTCGCCATAAGTACAGTGTGAGCTGAGGGGTTTTCAAGACATCTTTCATTGTGTTTAGGAATTTTCTTTACAATCCTAGATTTTTGGAGTGTTTTCATTATAAAATGAAAACGTTGTTCTTTGCCATGTGTATTTCCCATCATTTGAGATATTCAGGCAGATATCCCTTTCATTTTATTAACATCCGTATTATATACAAAACCACCCTTACGTTCCTAAGATAAATCCAATTTGGTCGTGATGTATATTCTATTAGTAGCTTGCTGGATTTACTACTAGTTGGCTAGTATTTTGTTGAGGATTTTGGCATCTATATTCAAAGAGACTGCTCTACAATTTTCTTGTGATGCCTTTATCTAGCTTTGGGATCAGGTTAATAGGTTAATACTGGCCTTATAAAATGAATTAGGAAGAATTCTATTTTTTTTGGAAGAATTTTAAAACGATCACTATAAATTCTTTCAGTATTTAGTAGAATTTATCAGTGAAGTCATTTGGTTCTGGCTTTTCTTGGTTGGGAAGATTTTGATTATTGGTTCAATCTCTACTTCTTATAGATTAGTTCAGATTTTTCTATTTCTTCCTGAGTCAGTTATAGTAATATATGTGCTTCTAGGAATTAGTCTATTTTATGTTGGTTATTCAGTGATATGCAATTGTATATATTATAGTATCCTCTCACAATCCTTTTCATTTACATAGGCTAATATGTTGTTAATTAGCCTAATGTTTTAAAAGAAGTATTATTATTATTTTACTTGATTTTATTTTATTTGATACATGGTCTTAGTAAGTTGCTGAAGTTGGCCTCAGACTTATGATCCTCCTGTTTTAGCCTCCCAGGTCGCTGGGATTACAGGTGTGTACCACCAGCACATCCAGACTAAAATGCTATTCATTGGAGTCTTCTTTTTCTGTCAGTCTAGCTAAAAGTTTATGAATTTAGTTGATGTTTTCAAAAAAACAACTAATGTTTAAATGAAACTTTTTGTATTTTTTTTATTCTCTGCTTGATTTATAATTTTTTAAAAACTCCCTTTCATTTTCTAGCTTTGGTTTTAGTTTATGGCTTTACTATTTTTTTTAAAGTTAGCTTAGGAGATTTGAGGTCTCCTTTTTTAATGTAAATTTTAATCTAATGTAAATTTCTAAGTACTATTTTTGCTTATCCCATAAATTTTGGTACATTCATCTCAAAATATTTTCTTATTTTCCATTATTACTGCTGTGAATTACTGCTTTGATGCATTGGGGTTCTTTTTAAAGAATGTTTGTTTAATTCCATACATAAATGAATGTTCTAGGTTTCCTTCTGTTATTAACCTCTAACTTCATTCTGTCACAAAGAAACCTTTTATGAATTTGATTTTTTTTTATTTTATTAAAATTTGTTCTGTGGTCTAATATGATCTAACCTAAAGACTCTTCCCTTTGCATATGAGATTTTTTGTGTGTGTGTGTGCTATTTGAGTCTATTTGCTTATCAATCTTGTGTTTAGTTCTTTTATCCATTTTTGAAAGGAGAGGAATTATATTCTCAAGCTCTTCTCATAGAAATGTCTATTTATCCCTTCATTTCTGTTAATATTTCACATATTTCAAAGTTACAGTTAAATGTGTGTATATGTTTATTGTTTTATATTTTCTTGATAGAATAACCTTAACCAATATCTCAAACCTTGTTTGTCTCAGGAAACAGATTTTTATTGAAAGTCATTTGTTTGTGATTTTAGTATAGCCGCTCTAGTTCTCTTTTGGTTACTGTTTTGCATGAAATATTCTTTATCCCCCACCTCCCAATCTCTACACTTCTAAATAACTTGTGTCTTTGGAATCCAAGTGAGTCTCTTTATGCTTATAGATACCCCACAGTAGGATCATATATGCTTATCCATTCTACCGCACCTATCTTCTAATCAGAGATTTTAGTCCATTTTAGTCGTAGTAAAGCAACTACTTTTAAGGAAGGATTTATTTCTGTCATTTTGCTACAGTTTTCTACATTACTTATGTCTTTCCTTCCTCAGCTTCTCCATAACTGCCTCCTTTGGTCATTATTCGATTTTTTTCTAGTATGTTGATTTAGTATCCTTTATTTTTCTGCATATTTTTAAAGAATCTTTCTTCGTGTTTACTTTGGAGATAACAATTGACATTTTAATATAAAGCTTAAGTTTGAATTAAAATCAATGTAATTTCAATACTGTAAAAAACTCCACTCCTTAACAGCTCTGCCCTCCCCATTCTCAGAAATCACAGTTATACATCCTGTGTCCATAAACACAGATTTATAATCATGGGTTTTATCATGTGGGAAAATAAAGAAGCCTCAAGACAAAAGTACCATTACACTAAGTTTTATATTTTTCTTTATAGTTATTGTTACTTAGGGTGGAAAAAAGACTAAATAAGCCCTCTAGTTTCACTTGTCTTAGTTGACTTTAAAAAGTCATTAATTTTGGAGATTATACAGCTGGGCAATAATACATTATTAGTTTCTCACTAGTCACTCTGCTGAGTAGTTAGGCCAATAATGGTTGCCTATGTTATTTTATAAGATCTCTGGGGCCACTTTTGTGAAAACACTTATTTTTCACTTGAGCTGGCAGATATCCAATAAGGTGACTGGAACAAAGAGAAAAAAACTTGGCATCTCTGTCTTCACAATGTTCCTGTCTCCTTTGGAGCTTTAACCTTTGGTCTAAATAAGACCTTCCAGCTACCAGGACCTGAAACACCAGACTGTAAGAGGA